CGCGAACAACGCTGTAATCGAACGAGTGCAAGAATTTTGCCGATTTCTGATCACTGTTGCAAAAATGAACAAGTAACAAGTAACAAGAAATACCAAAATATCGAATATCGCAAGAGTAAGAAAAGAAAATCCTTCGAGTTTTGAACTCGACTGCCAGAAAATTTGAATGAAGAAAAATGAAAAAACAAAAGAAAGGTATCTCCAAATGGAAATGAGAAGATAATTTCGAAATCGTTTGAAATAATTACGAAACAGTGGTTTCCTGTTACAATGTAATCTTCAGAATTCTTGCACTTGCCGAAAATTTCGAATAGAAAGATTCCAGAATTTTATGAAGAAAGCTTGAAGGATTTCGGAAGATCTCCGTTTTATTCTGAACTCGAAACGTCCCAAAATGAACGGCGATCCCAAAGTAGCGGATGTTTTCAGCTACGTGCATACATACGTAAACTGAGCCGATGTTTTTTGGGACGTTCTCGAATTCCATACGATAGGAATTAAAAACGTGCAATCGCGTCACGTTATATATACGTGTAAGGAAAAACTTTTCTTGCGATGTTCGACAAAGAACATTCGCAAGCACGATCTTCGTGTGGTACAAAGTTCGAGTACACCGATTTTTCGACGAAGTAAAAATCATTTTTCAAGGCTTGTCTTTTCTTCTTTTTTTCTTTTATAATACATTCGGTTCGATTATATGCAATACTGTGAGACCATAGCGATTTCGAGAGAATCTATCATCTTTCCTGCGAGCATTTATTTCATCCAAGAATAATTTCATAAACGAAATTGAAGGTTTGAAAAGTAAATTAGTTGTCGCGAACAATTCTCAAGTTTCATATGAAAAACAATTGCTACCTTTCGCCAAAGGAACACTCTCAATTTTGTAAAAGATCGTCCTGGCAGAACGAACGTGGCCCAAAAAATCGAGTACAATAGAGAACAGAGGGCGTTGCATAGTTTCCACGTTGTATTCTAACTTAAAAAAAAAAAAAAAAAAAAAAAAAAAAAAAAAAAAAACAAAAAAAAAAAAAAAAATGGAACACGGTACCAACAACAAAGTCTATCGAATCGTTGAAATATATTTATTTTTCCTGAAATAAAGAAAAGTAAAGAAAATCCAACAAAAAAGCGTTCAAAGTTTATTTTAATAACAAAGTAAGAGAGCTAGAGGGAGAGAAAGAGAGAGAAAGAGAAAGAGAAAAGAAGAGGAAGCTATTTATTTTTCTTACACAGTATTGCAAGCCTTTTCATTGAGGAAAAGAAACGGTAATGGGGAGAGAGAGAGAGAGAGAGAGAGAGAGAGAAAGCATATGGCGGACGATGAGATCGGCTGTGGCGCCAGTTGTGTTGCGACAATTTCGTAAATCGATGATTTCTCTGACGATTAGCGACTCGAAGCGGCGAAATGACGATAGAAATGCGTTTATTATATTAAGAGTAAGCTGACGCTGGAGTAAGGAGAAGAAAAATTACGTAGAATGCATGGTGTGCGAGTGAGAGGGAGAGAGACAGAGAAAATCACAGAAGCCATAGAGTTCAAAAGAGAGTGCATTGTGTACATATAAAAGAAGCAGGGAGACGAAGAAACGCGAGACGAGCCGTTAAATACAGAGGGTAACCGAATGACACCTTTGTAAATTAGCTTTGTACGTTGTATCCCCATACCTCCCTTGTTTTTTTTTTTTTTTTTGTTTCATTGTTGCTGGACGAGCCGTGGAGAAGATCTGTCCACGTTGAAACTATTATACAGGCTAATGCAAAAGTCTTTCACATATGGGAGACAGTGCACTGTATGGAGACTTTTGGATCACCTAGTATATATATTTTATGCTTAATCGTTCCTCGTTTCTTTAAGTTAATTTTCAAGTAGAAGCAAATCAGTCTGACAGAAAATAAACGATCGTAAATTAAAACGTTCTTTTTCTGAGAAATAAAAAAATTTGTAACAGCCAGATGTCAAAATTAACACATAAAAATCTTTTTCCAGTAAATTGACACGAGGGACGAGCAAGTGTTAACCGTTTCCATTTGAATGGAAAAGAAACTCACAGGCAGAAAGCAAAAATTCTTTTCAGTAAAGGAAAAAGGAAAAAATAGTCCATCTATTTTGAAGCAGTTGGAAAAATTAATTCTCCGATACTTTCTTTGAAAGTTAGATCCTATCGGGACGTCGTGTTTGTCGGCCATCTTGATTCACCATATTATTTCTACATCCATAGCGTTTAAGATTGTATTAAACGTGGAGAGAAAAAGAGAAAAAAAAAATATGGAAAAGAGATGAAGAGATAAAATTGCTGGCAATTTCATGGATTTTATCAACTATAAATATATTTTATATTACCTGTACATTTCCGCGAAATGACAGATCGAAATATGAACACGAAACAGGACGACAGATTTACTTTTTGGTACTTATTTCGCGAGATATTAACAAAGAATAAAAATAAAGAAAAATTAAAAAAATGTTGTTCATCGTTGACAGTTTCCATCTTGTGGCTCTGTTATGTATATAAATATACATATTGCATATATACATACGTACGTACATACCTATATATAAACATATATATTTTTCTGGGAGAAAAAGGGAGAGAGAGAGAGAGAGAGAAAGATAGAAACAAAAGAGATGAGGAAGATGAATAATAACTGCAAAGACGTATCCGACCTCTTGGACGCAATAAAACAAATTTTCACTATAAATCCATTATGCATGGGCATCAGGGTGTAGATTAATAGGAGAAAGAGTGAAAGAGAGAGAGAGAAAGACAGAGAAAGAGTGAATGAAAACGGGAGAGAAAGATGTTGTAAAGAGATGACTATTTTTTTGAGAGAAACAGAATTATAATAAAGCAAAAAGGACGTGAAGCAAAATTGGGAATCTTCATTTTCTTATTTTCATTTGATAAATCACTCTGCCTGTGGGTTGAAATGAAATTCGAAAGGACCAAGATTTTATGGTATGGTCACTGATTAACCGATGAATTAATATTCATTGATTATTTTTGCATTAATTGTTCATAGATTCGTAATTGCATGTGAACTGTGGGCCGTATGTAATTCGTGAGGTTAGCAAAGGCGCAAAATTCCTGAATGCTGATTTCGTATTTAACGAGTATTAAACGAGGGTAGAAAATTTTCGTCAACGTGCGAGATAAATCATAGCGCCTAGATCGAATTTTCCTTCACTGGAAAAATGCGTTTTACTTCATAATGGGGCGAAACGAAAGAAATTATTTTTTTTTTCTCTTCAATTGATAACGATAATGAATCTAAAGGAAGGAAAACGTGTACAGAACTTCTCCAGGCGTAGTCGTTATAAGGAAAAAAAAAAAAAAAGAAAGAAAAAGAAGAAAATTAAAGAGATTCATCCGCTGCATGTACATAGACCGGAAGACCGCTGGTAGCCATATTGTTATTCGCGATTAATTAGATGACTTGGTCGAGTCGATCGATGTTCTTTCTCTTCTTTACTTTCTCTCACTGGACACACACACGATGAGCGTTCAAACGATTCTGGAAAAAAAGTTCTCTCGCATTTTGTATATTAATTTATTTCTCTTCCTAATAGTATTAATTTGAAATATATTATATATACATATATACATATTCGAATAAAAATTCGAAGACAAAAAAAAAATATATATATATATATATATAGATATAATTTATTTCCTCAGTGTAAAATATAGATTTGTATTTGAATTGTTATTACTTCATTGATTTCACTCGATAGCGATTTATTATTATAAATATCGATTTATATATATATCGTTAATTTTTAGCGAAGCAGTCGCTTATAAGTTGTTAAGCATAATTTTTTCCTTTTCCTCCTTTCGTTCCCGTGTACAGATGATCTAAATCTGAATTTTGCGAATTCTTGTAAATTTTAATGAGGTGATAGATAAATGGCAGAGAAGCGACATCTACGGTGAGCGTCGCGAGTCTGACCGGAAGTGAGAGAAAGAGAAAGAGGGAGAGCCCTCTGTCTGTTGTATATTATTTTTATTTCCACCTTTTTTACACGAAAAAAAAAAAAACAAAAGCGAGATCGGTATTGACCGTGCTATGTATGGATATGTTCCAATATAGAATAAATCTTTCAACAAATACTCGATTCTTATTAAATTCCTCCCGTTTGGTGAATCTTATTGTTAGCGATATCGAAGGACACGTGAAGGAATTTTTAATGGATCAATTAATTCCTCTGTTTGTTTAAAACTGACTTTTTTTTGAAGAATTTTGCAGTTTTCAAGTATCGTATCTGGCCTGGAGTATATACACGCATTGTTAGTATGACAGATTTGAGAAGAAGTTATGGGAATGATCGAAGAAGATTGAGACACTTCGCGTGTCAATAAAGATGGACCATTTTAGAAAAAAATGTTTGGTTGTCGTTTTAAGTGGTGAGTCAATTGTTTAAATATCTTTATATATATATATATATATAAATTATTAATAATTACTTTTCTATACTGTCTGTTCCAGAAATTGTGCGAGATTTTGCACAAAGCCCCAACGAAAGCAATATCGAATTTTGCGAGCCTTCCAACATGAAAATTTCAACGGATTATTTAACTCAAATTAATTATCAATTTAGGATTAATTATTTCAGAATACAGCCGTAAAATTACATATATGATATGTTATAAAAAGTTAAGTTTTAGAAAAGTATACATTTGCTGGGTAAATTAATATTTATAAAAAAAATGACCTCGATAAATCAGCAATAAATTAAAAATCCTAACCGAAGCCAAATCCTTTGAAAATTCTGTTAAAAAGTGTAAAGATCAATAAAAAATTTATCAAAATATACGTCACATAAAACTCCAAAGCTGGTTTCAAAGATTCAGACAAAAATTGATTTCCAAGAGATATCTCTTCTTCCTCATTTTAATTCCAATTTGCACCTTTCAATGTTACAACTTTTGTTTTTAGTTTCCAGTTATTGGAACTTAGAAAAAGAAAATAGGAGAGGGGAAGAGTAAAACTCGCGATTATTCCCCTTGTTCTGGATTTTTCTCTCTTTCGTTCGATCGGAAAGTTTATTTTAGCCTCGTCCACGACGAGATGAATCATACATAAAGGGGATTACATGCACGATTAAAACGATATCCTCTATATACACATGTAGCAGTTCCACGTGTTGATGGAAATTTTTCACACAGTGGTCAAATTTTTCTCGTTACCCTCTGTGATTTCTCTTTTAACTAGCACGCTCTTCTTCCATACACACACTGTGTAGTGATAACCCCCCTGGTTTGCTACGCGACTCACATCACAGTTGAACCACGACGAAATAAAACTCTGTAGTCTTTTGTGGTCCCATCGTGGTTACCCAGTCGACATACGATTATACGACAGTCTGCTCAGAGCACTAGACACCACAGTTTCCAATTGTTACATAAGTTCCGTTTGAATATTCCTCGTCTTTCAACCATTTCATCATTACCTGTAACATTTATCACGAAGCGTTAATATCTACAATTTATCATCTCATCTTAAAAATTAGAATTTGACGTTCTCAGTTTCATAAATGTTCGAAAGTTACCAAATTTTTCTCCTTTCTCTTTAAGAGTCCAATCGAACTCACCAAACGTTGCACTTTTGAGTTGGATTCATCGGTGAGCCTGGGGGACAGTTGTAGGCCCTGGCAAAGTCTTCGCTGTTGGACAGGGGGCCCAAAACTCTTATAGGACCCGGTGAATGTACGCTGCTTCGTATTTTCGTCAACGCATCCTCCGGTCTCATCGATCCGCACCATATTTGCGCGTAGTTCAAAAAGAACAGCTGATCGTGAGTGAGATTCACCCCAGGAAGCAATGGTTCCTCACCGTGTATTGATACCCACTTTTTGTATGCCTGAATCATGGTAAACGAGGAAAGAATGTTACTTTTACGGAACATTTAATGTAATATTGTACTTTACACTAAGAGTAGCTATTGTATTTTTAACAAGAGAGTTGTGTGAATCTTTTTTGATATTTTAAACATTCCATTTTTTTATTTAATCTGGTAGCAACTGCTGCTTTTATGTATTTTATTCGCGAGAATGGCAGAGATTTTATTTTCTACTTCAAGGACGACTCGTATAATCCCTGTCTTGAATAGTTACATAATAGTTCTAAGTTTTGGGCAACTACGTTACCCTGAACGACTGTTTCAGCCCTCCATTATCAGCAATGTTCTCCCCCTGAGTCATCCTCCCATTGATATACAGATCAACTTCCTGCAGCTTGTATCTGGAATACTGTTCTACGATGCATTGAGCCCTTTCCCTGAAAGCCTTCACAGTGGCGTTGTTCCACCACTGCATCATGTTACCATCTTTGTCGAACTGGCGTCCCTTGTCATCGAAACCGTGGGTAATCTCATGACCGATCACTACACCTATTCCACCGTAGTTCAACGACTTTGGAAAGTGCTGCGAGTAGAAGAGTGGCTGAAGGATTCCAGCTGGAAAGACTGGTGGAGTGAAAAATATCGTGATTAAAATAATGAATTGAATTAATGACGTATTTCCTAATAAATTGTTAAATTATTTCTAGGGAATGGTCACCATACTACAGTAACTTTTGTATCACACACTTGTAGCATATTAGAATTTGCAAAATTTATTTGAAATTATCTAACATTTACTAATTAAATGCTCACGGATATGTTTAATTTAATTTCCTGATTTTAGAGCTAGAACTCTGATTTGAAGGATCCAGAATTACCAATGTCGTTTTTATTGGGGTTGTAGAAGGCATTCACCACGGCTGGCTCTGTGGACCATTTATCTTTATCAACCGGCTTCCGCAATTTCTCGAGATTATGATAGGCGTCGTACTTCAGCACAGCTAGCACGTTCCCGAGGAAGTGATTCTCCGTGATGTTCAACTACGAGTGCGAAAGTTAAGAAACAGATTGCAAGCGCCACAAGAGAGGTTATGAATTGTTTATAATTGAATGTACGAATCGTGTAATTACAAATGATCAATACGTTACATAAGTGAAAGCAAAATGTATCACTTTATATGTCGTCGAGTAAAGTAATGAAGCGATACCATCACGTATTCCATCGAAAGCTCTTCGGGGTCCTTCAGAAATTCCGGATACCCGATTCTTTCGTTCATGGAGTCAGCTTTGCTTTTCGCCACGGCTCTGGTTTCGTTGTCCATCCAATGATTTTCGGCTAATAATTCGTTAAACGCCTCTCGTATCGTGCGGATCATTTCTAGCGCTGTCTCCTGAAAATCAAATCGTCGAAAATTATCGGACAGCAATAAATTATCAGAAGGAGAACGATTAAATTTACTCAGTGAGAATTGTAGCTCGAAGCTCGAAGAATTCTCACGATTTTATAACGTGGAAATTTCCATGAATTCTCTTTTGGATTTTATTTCTATCATCTTTTAAATTATTTCTCAAAGAATGTTAAACAAATTAAATTAATATTCAAACTTAATTTAAACGTTCCATTTTTGAGTATAAAGTTTTATCAAATTTACCTTGCTCTCGTGGTTGAAATTGTCACGAATGAAAAGTGCACCAACAGCCATGCCAAGCTTTTTATTCGTCCACTCGACGCATTGCGACCATCTGTCCCTTTCGCTTAATATGCCTAACAGAATTTTCCTGAATTCCACCCTCTTCTGCTGGTATTCGTCAATCATGTGAGGCATTATCGACATCACCAATCTCCATAGTATGTAGTTGTGCAGCGTTCTGTTGAAAAATTAAAAAAAAAAGAAAAGAAAAGAAAAGAAAATTTGAAGCAGACGTTGGAACGGAAATTTTAAAGTATTAAAATTTTGTAGAAGGAATGTGAATCATTTTCTCACAAATGAAACAAAAAGGAAGAGATGGAAATTTTTAAGTAAATAAATCTTTTTTCCACGGTTACCTGCGGTCCGTTTTCTGCACGATGCGTCCCATTTCCATAAAGTACGGCATAGCGTACGCCACGATCGGCTCCTCTTCCGTAATCGGCGAATTGATGAATTCTTGAAGATACTCGCGCCACTTCAGCTGCGGGATTTCATGCTGCAGCTCGCGCAGCGTCAACTTCCGGTAAATGGCCGACGTATCGTGCCTGTCGGCCTCAGGTATCGACGCCTGAAATTTTTATTCAGAACAATTTTTCGTGTAAAGAATTTTCTACGAAATCTCCCGTAAAGATTCCAACAACGCTGGAATAAAAACGTATCGAAATATTCTACGCACAAATCATTATAATTTCAAATAAATAGATTTACAGAATTACGTTTCCCTTACGTCTAAATAAGAAATTAATTTTTACAAAATAATTTAGATATTAATTCACTTACAAAAATTATTTTAGATATTAATTTTTACAAAAATGTTACCCGATTCCCTTAGGAGTTAGAGAGAAGAAAAATCCGAGACAGATTAATATTGACGGGTTCGATCGTTTTAGTGTCAATATTGCAAATACAACATGGACGTACAGAGTGTCCCAGTTTTCTCCGGCATAATAGACATTTGCCAGCGTGTTTCTACAAGCAAAAGTAAGAAAAAAAAATGTTATATGAACATGTGCTCTTAAATGTTTTATTAAGGAGTCATAACTAATAACACAAAATGATAATGAACTGGCGTACGAACGTATCATCAGTGTTACAAAAAACTCACATAATCTCGTTGAAGCTCTGTGTGTTTACTAGCAAAACTAAATCCAACAAAACTGAGCAAGATAACAGTAGACCTTCTTAATGTAATAACATTTCAAAATGACCTCCGTTATTACGAATGTAGGATTGGCATCTAACAAAAATCGACCCTATCGCATTATTAATGTCTTCTTAATTTTCTCTAGTCGCATTTCTCTAGTCAATCCTCTGTACTAACTACTCACGAGTATTAATTATGTGCTTCATAAACTTTTGCCACACGTAAAAACCCATTGGCGTGATATCTGGTGATATCTTGGAGGCCATGAGATTGGTTGTGGATAATGGTCATTTATCCATTGCCATACTGGTACTGCGTAATCTATCGGGCAACCGTCTAATTGAACCCATAAGTTTTGTCGAAGTAACAATGGAATATCTTCTGCTACTTCTGTCTGAAATTCATTTTCTAAGAGATTCAAAACAGACCGTTAATCTATCCGGTGAAAAGTAAGGTACTAAACATTATTAGCTGTGACAGAAATCAATGACGATATCAACAACTTCAGCAAGAAAACATAAGTGTTTCTGTAAACGCAAATAGATATTCATAATACGTTGTGTCAGTTTATTATCATTTTGTATTATTAGTTGTAACAAAATATTTAAGAGCATATGTTCATATAACATTTTGTTTCGTACTTTTGCTTTTATAACACGCTGGCAAAGTTATGCCGGAAAAAACTGGGACACCCTATGTATGTACGTACGTTTGCCAATTGTTTCTCCAAGTTGATCACACGATGGAATTCATCGGCAGCGGTTTGCGGATTGGCACCCATCAAGACAGCAACGTTCGTCATATAGCGATGGTACGCGTTCAGTTGAGCCTCGCTGCTCTTCTTCAAGTAATAATCCCTACTTGGCAACGCCACTTGCATCTGATCCAACTGAGGGAGAATTCATAGTCATTTATATCATCCATGATTTTCCATTCGCTTGAAAATTGGACGAACAAACGTTCGTAAAGCAGGTAGTTTATCTTTACAATTCGTAAAGCGTTCGAAAATTGGAAATCTACCTGAAGAAGAAACTTCATTCTAATTGGACACGTAGCTTCATAATTAGACTACGGATCTTTGTATTTTTCGGCTGACTGAGTTTTTCGCCAGTTAGTGTCTCTTCTATGAAAATTTAATTTATTTACTTATTATTCTACTTTTGGATATCCTATTTCAAAATGTATCTTATGTATCTTTCGCGTTGTCAGATCAGAAGTGTACAAAAAAATACGCAGTTTCTGATCGCAATTGTCATTTGGTTACAGGTAATCGATTGATATTGTGTTATTTAATTAATACACGCAGTGACAGATAATTTTGTCAAGTGAAATTAAATCATTTTCTAGAATTTCGTACTAAGGAGTGTATGTTTCCTAAAATTCTGTCACAACGCTCTATCCTAGAATGTAAATCCAATTGTTATACTGTGCAGTCGTCGACCAAGGGGCCTTACTTTGCCGGCGCACCTGCAGGATATTCACAGAGGAGTTCTTGTCATCTGGACCGACCCACTGTTCCAGTAACACACCTTCGTTATAGTCACCGCGTAATCGACCTAACAAAACCTCGATCGAGTACGGCGGTGGCTTCCAGGATGGACCGATCACCGCTGGCCAGCCTCCAAGGAACTTCAGTGTCCTCTTCAGTGGAGCATCCCCGATCTCTCTTATACGAGCTGCAAAAACCAGTTGCTAGAAACAACCCTTTCCAATGTTATAATAATCTTCTTTATTACTTTTGCATTATTTAAAAATTCCTTTCTCTCTCTCTCTCTTTCTCTCTCTTTTTATTTCATGCAGGAAACAGAGAAATATTTTTTAGATTTCCTTTCGAAGAGAATAATTTTTGTACTTTAAAAGAAAGGACAGAGTGACTTGAGAATTTTAGTAAAGATTAGAATTCACAAATCAGGGATTTTTTTCGACAACGGCGCGATCGAGAAGAATTTATCGTTGTACCCACGGATGTCCATGCACGATTTGTAGAACATCTTCGCCTTCAGAGTGGCGTTGTTGTCCTCGTTGTTCGGTGGCTCCTCCAGGATGCGTTTCAAGATCACTTGCAGCTGATTGGCCAGTACCTCGAACGTACTGATCGAGCTTCGATCCTCCGGGATCACGTGACGCTGGTTCCACGTGCCGCACGCGTATTGGAAGAAATTCACGCACGGCGCTGCCGTTCGATCCATCGCTGACAATAAACTCGCGGCTGAAACGAATCCCGATGGAACCTCAGAGATTAAAACGGAAAAAATAGAAGGAAATTCTGCGAATGGACGCACGTGAAGGATCACTGAAAGTTGATAAGAAATCGATCAGAAAATAATTGACTACAAGCAACTATGACAATTATAACTGTTGACAGCAACTGTCTGCTCGTGAGTGAGTGATGGAAAACTATTTCAACTGTGGTTATAAGCGACTGTTGAAGATGACACGTGCACGTACAAAGTGACTGTAAGTAGACATAATGCGATCGAGGGTGGTTATAACGTAACTGTAACATTGTACAAGTATATATGATTATTACTTAATGAAAGATAATATCACAGATTGAAGTACGACATAATGTGATTTAACAGGCGTTCTATGTTTTAAATTTTACTTGGTTGTAGAAAATATTATAAATTAATGTTATTATTGTATTTTATAGTGTATTATGGTATATATATAGTATTATGTATATATATATATAGTGTATTATACTATATTTTAGTATTTTAGTGTATATTACAGTGTATATTATAGTGTATATTATAGTATTATAGTGTATTATAGTATATTATAGTAATTATAGCACTATAGTATTATAGTAATTATAGTACTATAGTATTATAGTATTATAGTATTATAATGTATTATAGTATATTATAGTATATTATAGTATTATATTATATACTATATTATTAAATTATATTATATTATCATATTTCAAAATATACTGTATTTTTGGTCGTGTATCCTTATATTTAATAATAATCAAATATATCATTATATTGTCAATAGATCCTTTAATCATCACAATAATATATGTCATCAATTTCATAATTTTTTACCATCGTTTCTAGAATTTTCGTTGCAAACGAGGAGTGAAATATTTCCTCCCCCGAGGCTAGCGAAAAACTGATCGAAATCTCGACGTTGGCGCGCGTTTACGTACGATCATATTAACAAGCACGTTGATATCAAATTTCGAAGCTGATATCGAGGCTGCAGCGCCGACCTTACGTAAGAACATAAAATTGCGCTGTCACGGATAGGAAATTGAGTTTCAGGACCGGGGCGATCGGGGAAGGAACATCGAGGCTAACAAGATGGAAGTATTAGAGGAAAAAGAGAAAAGGCGAGGTAGATACCAGAAGGAATTGGAGAGCGAGAAGGATTGAACGTATGTATGCAGGTGAGTAACGAGTCTGCTATAAAACTCCTCTGCGCAATCTCATTTTCTGTCAACAGGTTGGCGCTGCCACTCATCCACTCCACGCGCCATCTTTTTCACGTTTCAATCGGGAATTGAAATCGGATGCTACGCTTGTAATGGTAAAATAAAACAACGTTGTTTAACTTAAAATAAAATAATCTGTGATAACATCAAGGGGAATAATGATAATACTTGGTGAAACAGAATAATCTGTAATTATATGAAAAGGGACAATATACTTATTAGAGACTGTTTACTGTATTTTTAAACATATTTTACTGTGGCGTAAGTATGCTATTTCACGCGTGGTGATTTTTCCAAATTCTTGATATTGTTATATAAGTTATTGCGGAAAGTTAAAGAAGAAAGTGAGTTCGTGAAATAATACCTGTTACAAGCGAGTTAATAAATAAATATAGTAAATTATGTTTAATAGATTTGAGAATGACACCTGTTTAAAGAAAAAAAAAAGAAAAATGAATTTGAGAAATTTTTTCATAATTATTCTTCCCCAAATAAATCAAAGCACATCTTCAGCTTTACAGCGATTTGATTTCAACTTTCTTAGCCAATAGCTAAATTAGTTTCGCTCCTATCTGTTTAACGTTCAAGGATAGTGCTCACGCGGCGTTCAAAGGTATAATCCGAATCGTTTAATCGGATCCGGTAATTTTACGGTGCGATTGGTATCTTCGTCGACCAATCAGGCGAGAAAGATTTAACGAGGCCAGCCTGTGATCTCAGGATTGATTGCACCTCTCCGATAAACTATCTCCAACGACTAATAACACCGCTCTGGGGTTATCTGATATCGTGCATCAGATTCTCATTAGCTCTGCTAAAATTACTAAAATAATTATTATTTTGAAACAAGCAATCGTCCCGAAAATTTTGTCATTGCATGCACATTTACGTCGACAAGCGGATCGAGATGATTCAGATGATTATTTCATTTTTCACCTGACACTGACCCAATACATTCCGCGAAATTTTATTAAAAATATTGAAAAAGTTGAAAAATTAATGTTAAATTAATATTAAAATTGAATTCATTCGCGAATTTAACCCAAGCCCACGGGATAATTAACACACGCGCGGAGCCCGTTGGAAATCCACGGCGGAGGGAACGTTTTTCTAATTACATTCAACAAAAACGTAAGCTCAGACTCTTTGAACACTCGTGCCTGGCGGAGAGGCCGTTGTTTTTTAAGCAATTTTGAATTCAGGCCGAGCACCATTTTCTTCCCTCCTTTATTTCCCTTTCGCAAGGCACCACTTTACCAGCGGCGCGGAGACACGGTAATTGCGAGATATTAAGAAAAAAAAAAAAAAAAAGAAAAGGAAAGAGAGGAATTTAATTACACCTCTTGGCGGAACCACTGCTACCTTTTGCCATGCTCGAAATCTCAGCGATCGTTTACTTGTTCCCTCGTGAGAACTTTCGGAGACTCTCCTTGTTGTTCCTTGTCTTTCGAATTAATTCGTCCGGACGAAAGAGAACGAAAAAAAAAAAAAAAGAAAACCGCTCTCCTGCGTCTGTATTCGCCAGCCAATTTCGCTTCTCCAAGAATGGGAGGAAAAGAATTCGTCACGAAGGAAAAATCCCCTTGCCAATTTATCGTCGCATTCTCTGCGATCCAATTTATTCGTCATTTATTCGCACAGACCGCGTAATTCCCAGATTAATTTCCACCGGACCAAATCGAGTCCAAATCCGGGCGAATCCCGAGCGTGACCGATCCCGGACTTGATTCCTGATAAATAATGGAGCTTCCGCGGCCGCAACTGTCTCTGCCGCCGGATAAATAAATAACCGGGAACGCCGCGTTTTCCAGCTGCAACGCCCGATCGTCAGCAAGTCGAAAACGGCGAGATTTCGCGACAAATGGAAATCGAACGCGGCAGGGCCGGTACCTCGGTCAACAGGCAATTCCACCCGGGGGATGGTTAATCCGATTTGCAAGCAGTGCGCCGAGGCCGGCACGCGTTTGTCGCCAAACGCAATTCCGGCTGGCTACCTCAATCAGTTCTCCCTTCGATCTGATTCCGTTTGCCACTGGCGCGGATATTGCTCGCTGATATTTCATCCCTCTCCCACCCCCCCCCCTCCCTCCCTCTTATCGGCGATCAGATTCACGAGCCAGTTCCATTGTTTTTATCCCCGCGAGGATCGCTGTACCTCCAGCTGGCGCTACGCGACTCTTTGACTCGTGTTTTCGACGAATATCTAAAATACGCGTTCAGTTTTTTTTTTCTCCAACTATAAATTTTAAATTCGTTTCGTTCGCCTCGATTGCAAATAATTCGGCCAGGACGGCCAATTTCAACACTACGATTCGTATTTAGCGATGAGGTTTTCAACCGCTTGCGCTGGCAACCGATTGCGGACCGTAACGAGTGACCGAACCGTGTGCAATAATTCGTCGCTTTCTTCTTGTACTCGTCGGTACGATATTCGTTGGATAGAAATTATTGAGAATAAGCGAGTAATAAGTTCATTGTTTGTTTCGTCTATTTTAGTTTTACTTTGCTATACTTGAAGCTGAGGAAATACTAAAATTTTGGGACAAATGATTCTCGTTCCAGCGCAAGAGGTTAAAGATTGGTGTCCCAAATTTCCCTCCAATGGAAAAAGAAGTGATTAGATTTCGTAGAAGTTTCGTCGGCCGTTACCTGTTCTGATGCATTCCTCCGTCATGCAAACGTTCGGGCCTGAAAAAAAGAAAAGGGAAACGTACAAATGTCTCATTTTCACGAGAATGATAATGATTCGCCCGACGTAGCTTTATTTTATTATTTACACAAACGTGTGGTGTAAATAATTCGTCGGGAGGCTGCTCGTAAAGACGGAAGTTGATTCGAGAGAGGAGGCGGCAATTTTCTAGATCATTAATACACGTACAGAGCCACAAGGGCAACAATGAAAAGCAATTTTCCGCTTCGATAAAACGTGACTTTATTGTTTCTGTCCGCTGCATGCGATGCGAGAAACGAGGTATGCAACGCAGTCTGCAGCCCTATTTTTATCGTTGCGAAAGGTGTTGTACACGTGGCCGTTTCACTTTGACACAAAGAAACAACTCATTATCGAAAATGCAACGCCTCGTTCTATGCAACGAAGATAATCTTCGAATATTTTCTATTATCTTCAACATCTCTGGCGCCGTCTGTCCATCACGTTGTTGTAATTTCGTTAAATTTGCGAAAGAATTTCAATCGAGAGTTTCTCGATTTAAATCTAATTTTTGCGAGATGCAGATCAAGCACTGTTAATTAGAAATCACTATACATTAACGTTGGAATTGTATTTCGTATTTCTCTCTTTTGATTCTCCCTGAGCTTATATTTATCTTAAATCGTATTCGATGAAATTCGAGAAATTTCTATTCCGAAAGAAATGCTTTTGACTTAATTAGCTATTAACTTAAAACATAAAAAAATTCTTTTCTTCGACGAAGAAACGCAAAGAAATGATTAGGTAATCTTAGATATTTGCAGTGATTAATAATAATTCGTATAGAGCGAAAGAAATACTTCATCAAATCTTCTTTCAGATGATCGTGGATGTCAGAGAAGCGATTAATCCTGCGAGTAGCTATGAGGTAACACCGGCCTTTTCCAACAGAACTTGATCGCCTCGACTCGATTCGATTCGGTTGATTGATGTTCGTCGGTCTTTGTTCGAGTTACTGACCACTGAAAGTCGGCTGTTTCTCTTTCCTTCGTAATTATCTTTTTTCCTTCCACGGATGTAATTCGTTATTGCAAAAAGGCAACAAAATGATATTTATCGGAAAATTCATCGAAATGTACGTAAATCACGTTCTTTTACAATGTTTTAAAACGTCTCTATCTTCCAAAAGAATCCCGGATTCAGTTTTTCAATAAAATTTCATGTACCATGCGAGTTTCATAGAGTCACTCGTGCACGAGCAAACAATATTTTCAGTATGCACGAGGTATCTCGCGTTACTTCGTTGCGACAAAAAGCGAAAACTTTTATGATTAAGGTGCAGGATTAAATTCCTCGCGGAGAAAAAAAAAAAGAGAGAAAAAAAGAAAAATAGATGAGTTTTTCAAGTACTTTTGCGAGAACACGCGTTCTTTTCTCTAACCTTCTTTTAAAAGTGTCCCGTAAAGTCGTAATTAAACTCTTTCGAAAGAAATTCTCGCGTGAAGCGGAAATGTAGAAGGGATCCGCGCGAAAGCAGGACAAAGTTCTCAATAAAAGTTCCTAAGGCACTCTCCTATGTGCTTCACTATATTCTGCTCGATATGTTCTGTTCTTAGTCTTTGGAAGGATTATTAGTTTAGAAATAATTTCGACTTAAAATTATGAAGCTCAAAACATTTGATTTTATATTAATCGATTTTATATTACAGGATATCACGATATCAAATTTTACTTTCAATTACTTAGCTTGATACGCAATTTTGTCTGAAACACTCTATTATGTTTTAATAGTATACTATGGTGGCAAAGTGTCATATTTACTGCCTGTTACCATGCCAAGAAACAAAACACTATAAATGGGACACTATAACACTTAATCTTGTCTTTAGTATCAAGTGTCAAATTTTGTCTACACTTATTTATCATATATGGCCTATTTATTTAAAGGCCTGCAAAAAAACCTTAAATTAAAGCTCCACACTGCTATTTAATCCCAACAAACCAAAATGTGAAATATATCCTACCATTTTTATTCTATCAATATATAAAATAATCTATCCAAATTGTTCTTGAACGTATAATAAAAAAGAAAGTATTAATGACAAAGTCTATCCTGTGGTGCATTTTGTTTGTTAAATACAATTTCTGTTTCCTAAAAATGTATCACACTTTCCAACCACCTGCCCCTCTCTTTCATCCTTTTTTGTCACTTGTGTGCAAAATTCCATATTCAATTTCTATATTAAAATAAAGAAATATATACATGGTATATACGGTCCTGTCCCAAATCCTGCGAACCCAGGCTCATTTCAATTGCAGATCAATCTATCAAGAGCAGTTTAGACCCAATATACCATAGTCAATATATCCCAACCACTACACTAGCGCACTCTATGCCGCTATCTCCGTCGCGTTTCATCAAGCCGTAACTCACTTTAATTCTATGCGCAATCTTCGGATCAACTCAATAGAGTACTCCGTATTGCTATTCTTCGACACCTAGACACACCGCACACCAGCCTAAATGTTAACGCAGTGAACAACGTATCAGATTGGAGCTAGCTGGAGCTGTCGGTCGCTTAATTAATCAGTCCCATCGGAACTAATCGTGTCATTTAGGGCTTAATTCAACTTACGGGGCTCTTGCGGGTATTCGCGGCTCGTGTTCAACGCCAGCAGCAGCAGAATGAAAAGGCAAGTGGCGAGAAGAGTGACGGCGAGAACACCGAGCAATTGCTGCCTGTTGGCCGCCCCCCTCCGCCTGATCGACGTGGCGCGCGTTATTTTCTTCCGGCTGTTTCCTGGATGCTGGAGGACCGTCGTCGTCGTCGTGTTGCCACGAGGCCCATAAGTCACCTAGACACGTGGACAGACCTTTTTCTTTCTCTTTCTCTCTCGGTGTGTTTGTTAGATTTTACGTAGCGCGAAATTGTACACACACATATATTCTCCTTTGTCCTTTTTTTCAGGCGTCGCACGAAGATTGATTGGAGCAATTATACGGTACAAAAGTTAAAATTTTTAAGGAGAAACGGGGAAATTTGACGGACATTTCGTTGTGTTTGTTAGATTCTACGAAATGGTATTTTTCTTTTTTCCTCCTTTGTGCGAAACTACATTTTCTCTCTTTCTCTTTTAGGTGTGGAGTGGTCATTGATTGGGGCAATTATGGCACGGAGATGATATAAAGTTGAAGCTCCTCGGGGGGAATTTCAAATTTAAATCTAAATTTAGGAATTGGCAATTTTTTTTTTTTTTTTTTTGAAAATATTTAGGTTTCTTCTTTCAAGAATTTCCAAATTTTTATTAGGAATTTAGAGATTTGAAAGTTTTGGAAATATTCGTAGGAACAATGCTTCTAAGGATAATAATTTCTATTTCCCAAACGCGAATACTTCGTTTGATTGATTCACGCAATGAGATTCCATTGAACGTTGAAGGACCCTCGTAATAAGCTGCTATTGAAAATCGCGTCTTATGATTTTCTTCCATAAACGGATCACCATCCCATAGAATCTCGTCAATTTTGCTTTAAAAAAAAACATCTTCTCCACCGTCCACTTCATTATCAATTATTATTCATTCGTAATTTTGATATTATCTCTATAGCTACATATTAAATCAAAATTACGTGAACCAATAGCTTGGCAACGATTATTAATAAAATGAAATTTCCGAATTGTCCAAATCGAGGACTCTGAATGATACATCTGGAATTAGGAAAGGTCGGGGTACCTGTGGACTTGCTAATTGATATTCTTTCCAAATAAAAGTAGTCTAGAAATCTCAATTTTACTACTTTCAAATTATTATAATTATTGGTAATTGAGCAATTTCATTAATAATCTATCATGTTTCCATTGAATATGCATTATTAATATTATTAACATTACTATTAACAATATCGAAATTAAATTTATTTCTCAAACGGATCAATCCAATTCAATTAGCATCACACAGTGATGAATCGATCCACCAAATTCACAAAAGAATCAACAAATCACAAGTGTAAAGCTCCGCGAGAAGACCGAGCAAATAAATCGCCAACCTTCGGTCAGTCAGAGGGAGAGAAATAAAAATCTCCGTACCTGAAGGGGACTGGCGGCAGGTGTCTCCTGACCGGAACCCGGCGATACCTCATTTTGCTCGACGATCACGTTCGCCTTCAGGTATCCGTTGTTGCTTTCAGCCTTCATCCTCCCTCTGCACCCTCGGCACTACCGAATCCCTGGATCAACTGCAGCAGCTGGACACTGGACCGAATTTCAAGCGGCTAACTGTGTCAACGACCGGTGTAACGTTGGCATCGCGGCTGCTGTCGATCCGCCGCGGCCAATCGACCATCGATCGTTCCTCCGCGGCCAACCCTTCCGAACCCTTTTGTTTCTTTTTCTTCTTCTTTCTGTTTCCTCGGTCCCTTTATACCCGAGACACTCTAACAAACTGATTTGTCACTTTGTCAGACGACTTTGCTACACTTTTCAATATTGCCTTTTACTTTCTTTTTTTTTTTTTTTTTTTTTTCCTTGTTTTCCAAGTTTCACGAAAATTTAATTCTTTTTTC